CTCTCCTCTCCTCTCCTCTTAGAGGAAATCAGAATATTTACTCCACAGAGCTTTAAGTTGAATGAAGCTCCTTTAAGTTTAAGCCAGAAGTTGCATTCTGCATGTAACTGAATATGCATAAACATAAGAAATCATTCCATTAATTCTGGTAATTAACTCCTTCATCCCTGATTTCCTCAGAGTGAAATGCAAAAATAAGCCACTCAATACAAGGGAGAATGCCAAAGATTAAAAAAAAAAAAAAAATTAAAAGAAGCCAAGTTCTTTCAAAGAGGTCTCTGCAGAGACTGGCTGGTTTTCTGAAGGATGCACTTTGTCATTCTACAGAAAATTATCCTTGATACTGCCTGTGCTATTTTGATGTCTCCTCGTGAGCTCAGGTTCACTGAAAATAAGGTTAGGGAAAAATAAAGAAAAAGGTTTTTAAAAGCAGATTAATTGAAAAGCAAACCAAAAGCGCCTAGTGGTTTAGGACCATCTTCATGGACAGGACATATGTTTTCCATAGGTAAAGCCATGCTGAGCGTGATAATGCGTCACATGCTGGTGGATCGCGTTGTGTTAAAAGGGTGACTCTGACACCAGTTCGTATAAGACCAAAGGTACTGCGGGTCTACCAGATAAATTCCAGGGTATGGATTTGGGGCATAAGAGATGGTGAAGGATGTATCTGGTTCTCAAATGACATGAAAGGCCCTGGAGCATGCAGGGAATATGACGTGTGGACTATTATAAATAATATATTTGGAAAGTTTGTGGACAGCATCCCGTGACGGCCAGCACTATGGCATATTAGGGACGTTCAACCTAGCCCACACTTTTGCAGCCCTCTCCTGAGTTGAAATTTTCCATCTAGTCTTGCCACGGCAGTGAGCTAAGCCCAAACCTTGGGTCACAGCGTTTTCCTCCTGCTGGGATGTGCGGAGGGGACCATGGAGGCCTCCAGCCTCCCTCTGCAGCCTCATCCTGCGGGATCCGAATGACAAGGCAGGCGAGGGTTTGGGAAGTGTCACAAATCTGGGGCTGTCCGCTTTCCCTCCAGGAAGTCCTGCTAAAGGGGTTCACAACTCTTGTAGTATGAGTGAAATGCTGCAATTTTTCCCATTTCCTTTCCCGACACAGGCTGGTGGAAGAATATCGGTGTGCCAGCCGATGGTGCACTGTTGCCAAAACCACCACTCTCCATCAAGAGCTTCCTGGGACAGAGAAGGTGGAAAGCCCAGGTGTTTCAGCACTGTTGGCTAACACAGGGCATAGCGTGTGTTCCAGAACAGAGGACCTAGCGAGCTTCTCAGGGTCCCCTGGTGTGAGAGACTGTCTTTCAGGAGTTCAGGCTCTGAGGTCTTCCCCGTCACCAGCAGATACTGCACCGAACATACAAAACCAGTCACCGAGCATGCAATGGTTTGCTGGAGTTAACAGAAGTCTTTAGTGTACCAGGACTGTACAAATGGGTCCTTAAATTTGTTTCTAGAAAGTATGTGTTTAATAGGTTCTCTGTGTTCCACGTCCTTAGGGTTAACTCTGTGCCATCTTCTTCTCCAGGTCTTTCACCTCCGCTTTCCTCTTCTCCATTGAAGTTCAGGTGACCATTGGTTTTGGGGGCAGGATGATGACAGAGGAATGTCCCTTGGCCATCACGGTCTTGATCCTGCAGAACATTGTGGGTCTGATCATAAACGCTGTCATGCTGGGCTGCATATTCATGAAAACGGCACAAGCTCACAGGCGGGCCGAGACCTTGATTTTCAGCCGGCAGGCAGTCATTGCAGTGCGAAACGGCAAACTTTGCTTCATGTTTCGAGTGGGAGACCTGAGGAAGAGCATGATCATCAGCGCCTCGGTGAGAATCCAGGTTGTGAGGAAGACTACGACCCCTGAAGGAGAAGTCATACCCATTCACCAAGTGGATATCCCCGTGGATAACCCCATTGAAAGCAACAATATTTTCCTCGTGGCTCCCTTAATCATTTGTCATGTCATAGACAAGCGGAGTCCTCTTTACGATATCTCCGCCGCTGACCTGGCGCTCCAGGACCTGGAGCTCATCGTGATACTCGAAGGAGTCGTAGAAACGACTGGCATCACGACGCAGGCGAGAACCTCCTACATAGCGGAGGAGATCCTGTGGGGTCACCGCTTTGTGCCCATCGTCACCGAAGAGGAAGGCGTGTACGCGGTTGACTACTCCAAGTTTGGCAACACCGTCAAAGTGGCAGCACCCCGCTGCAGCGCTCGAGAGCTCGACGAGAAGCCGTCCATTCTCATCCAGACCCTGCAGAAGAGCGAGCTGTCCCACCAAAATTCCCTGCGGAAACGCAACTCCATGAGGAGAAACAACTCCATTCGGAGGAGCAACTCCATGAGGAGAACAAATCCCTCCCTCATCGTGCCCAAAGTGCAGTTTATCACGCCCGAGGGGAGCCAGAGTGCCTCAGAAACGTGATACACCGCGCTGTGCGAGGTTGGGGGGCTGCGGAAGGAGCCATGGAGTTTGGTTTAAATTTTCTTCTCATTTCATTAAGAAAATGAGAACGCGATGCAGAAAGGAACTGTGCAAGAACTATTTATTCTATTACTTACAGAAAGCACCACCTAATGGCATTAGGAAACACTATAGCACTTAGTGTATGAATTAATTAAAAAATGACATGTACACCAAAGAAAACACAGTTCACATGTAATATAATGTGTATTTATACTTGGTCTAATGGCATGTTAATATTTTTAACCTTATTTTTCCTATCCAGGGCCTCTTTCTTATCTTTTTCTGCTGGCTGTCACAAAATGTGCCTTTTGATATGTAAGTGGGTTACTCACCTGCGGGTAGAAGCAAGCGCATTTTCAAAACTGCGGGATACAACAGCTCCCACAGATTTTGTGCAGGATATTTGGGTATTGATCTTTCTGGGGTGAATTCCTTGTTCTCTTGAAAGGGGTAGCTAAATTCCTTAGTGATTGGAGGTCACTGGAGAAGAGCCAGGTTTTTACCTTCTTTTTTTTCAGATCTTTTCTTTCAGTTGGTTTAGGGAGAAGGCATTTTGAGAGCAAACGCGGGTCAGCTGAAGTGACCTGACCACCCCACAGGAAAAGGGGTGCCGCCCAGCGCAGCACCGGCGGAAGAACCAGCAGCACGGCTCTTGCAGAGCACTGCTCTTCTTTCCAGGGTGAGATAATCCGCTGCAGGACAGCGTGCTTCTGTAATGCAGCTGTAGCCCAAGCTGAGAAACTCAGGTCCTCCCCGCTGCCACCTGAGCATCCATTTCACTAAAATTATTCCAGCTGGAAAAAGCACACGCCTCTTTAACATCCTCTTCATATTGGTGGGAGACCAAATCCTGGTTTGTTTTCTCTTACAAATTCACATACTGAAGGCAACAAGTGTAGTCCCTTCACTTACAGTATTTTTTGTAGGATTAAGCCTTTTTACTTTCACAGAGGTTACTTTTTGCCAGTGGGAATTCACGAGAGGGAATGAGAGGGAACTGTGCCAATAATATTAAAGATAGTGTTTTCAAAACCACCTGAATAATATTCAGGGTGACGTGGGTGCTGCTGCTGAATTACCGTTTTTCAGCAGTTTCACCTCTGTTTTTATGTGACATGGCACTGAGAATTGATGGTAAGGAGCTTTTCTCTTAAAATTCGAATGGGCATTTGTTGTGTAGAGTCTTCCCAAAAAATGTAATCACAAGTTTATCGTCATCACATTTATTTGTTCTACAAGAACAAATACATATTTGACAACTAATTGTATCACATTTGATAATGCTAAACTGATGCAATTTTTCTTTCATCTGTGAATAAGAACTATAATTATGGACAAATTCCAGTTCAAATTTCTTATACGATTTGCCTTATTACGTCTGTGGCTCAAGGACAGTTCTGTCCTTGTGCTGATTCTCGGAGCCACTCAACCGCTTAGGTACTTTTACAGTTTTCAATATTTGCTTATTCCTATCAGGCAAAATAGCCAAAAGCAATGCTGGATTCTCACTCTGTTTGGAATTCCATTTATCAGCACCTGTATGGACAGTTTGCAGCCTTCGTGTAGTGCTGGGTGGTGGCACGGAGGGGCATTGCTCTGTACTGTATGCTCCCTACATTTGGAGCAGGTGTTCTCCAGAAAATAAACACTGTCAAAGTATTTCATCTGAAACAGCAGTGGAAACTGAAGTTTCTGCTAAAAGCATTCATTCCCTGGCCTGCCCATTAATGTTCTGGGAGGATGGTGAACATCTGGAGCCATTAATCTACCTATTGTCTGTCCAAACAATGAACATCTGTAGCTTCCAAGAAGAGTCAGGGTGAAGCATATACAATTTGTCTCTGGACTCCATTTCCAGGGCTGTGAATTTCTTTGAGGCTGTCTGTTTAATAAGTGGTTAAGTCAGATGCTGTACAAAAGCAAATTTTCTACAAAATAAAAAAGTGATGATAATAATTATTTCTCTTCCCTTTTTTTGTTTGCATTCTCTATTCAGTCTTCTATACCCTTAGTCTATTTTGTACCCCAGCCTTTTCCATGGCCCTTTTGAGTAATAATTTGATGTTATCTCAATGCTCGCTCAGTATTTCAGATGAGAATCTGAGCTAAAAATGTTGTGAGTAAAGAAGCTATTTCTTTACTCGCAACCATTTTCTCATTTTCTTCTTAAATATATCCTTCCTTCCAATTGTTATTTCACTTTCATGTCTCTCTCTGTTTTACACCTAATGTAGTCTCTTTCCCATACGGGTATTATAGGGATATTGGTATTTTGAGGTAATACTGAGGCACCTCAGTCATATGCAAGGATGCTGAACAGGTACACAGGGAAGCACCTTGTGTCATGAATGTCATGTCCATATGTGCTGTGCTCCTGATCCTTGCAGGAAATCCCTTAGTGCAAAGCCCCTTTCTTGAGCAAATTTTGAAGTTCTGGAAGAAGCTGTCAGCAGAAGCAGTCGGAGTAAGCCACCCAGCCAGCTGTGAAGAGAGATGGGGTTGTTTTGGGGCTGGCAGGTGTGTTCCTCACTGAAGGAGAGATTTCAGACCCAGCTTTGCAGCATCATGCCTGATGAAAGGGAATGAGCTGGCAGCACCACAATTCAGTATCTTTAATTATTTATTCTTCCAGGCAGCTTTATTGGATGAAAAGGGATTTATTTCAGATTTGAAGTTTTCTGTGTTTAAAGAACACTGTCAAGTTTAGAATGACTGTTGAGATCTGTACCAAATACTGCTGACAGTTCATGCTGGCATTTACTCATCCATCTCTCTCACTGACAGTAAATTAGAAAATTAGAAGCAATAATGTATGAGCATCATGTGAGTGTCATCCCTTCACACTTACTTGTGTCCCTACCATTCCCATCCCCCTGCAATATGGTGTAACTGGAACTGTATGATTGGCATTGCTTATTCTGTGCATTTCCTACACTTTGTCTCTTCCAACAGCCTCCCAGGCAGGTGTTGATGATGCAGCCCTCTGTAGGGAGCAAAACTATTTTCTATGAGTAGATAAGTGATGGTAAAGTCCTTCCAGGACAGGCATAATATCTGGGATTGGACTTTATTTTTGCTTTCTAGGCTGAACTTAAAGAATTCGTCTATTTTAAACAAAAAAAAAAAAAAAAAAAAAAAAGAAGGCAGTGAGACCCTTTGTCTTCTCTTTGGATACTCAGAAGACTGAGAGTTACCATGGCGGGGACGTAGAGAGCAAACAAACACAGGCAGCACTTACAGGGGATATAAAGCTCAGTGCTCCAGGGTTGAAGCCAACCTCTGAGTAATAGGATTTGGAGGAAATTTTCCCTGCTGGCAGGTTATCCCGTAGCTGTCACCTTCAGGATTTCTTGCGCTCTCTTTTGAAACATCTGCTGTGAGCCAGGGACAGCGGCTGGCTGAGCGGGACTGCCAGGGGGTCTGCACCACAGGCAAGGCCGCAGGGTTGCCCTCCAAGGCCAAGGTGGACCAGGGCTGCTGAAGGCACAAGCAGGATAGGAACTGAAGCATGAATCTGATGGAAATGGGATCATGACTTAACGAGCAATAGCTGGGTGTATTTTGGGTGCCCTGGGGCACCCTGCCTGGCCCCCCAGAGATGGCCACCAGTCTCTAGTCAGGGCCGTGACACTCCTGCCTACTCCAAGCATGCCTCTTGGGCACTCTCCTGTGCGCCCTGCTCTACGTGACACTTCCCCCCACAAGCCTGCTGTAAATCATGCTCCAAACCTCGCCGTAATGCTTGGCATCACGGTGGCCTTGTAAAACAATCTTCCTCCTGCAGATATTGCTTCATGGGCACATGTTGCACCACAGCAGTTTGTCCTTGTGAAGACAGCTGCTTGGGTCCATGCACAGAAGGGTTAGCCCGAGTTTCCCGTGATACTCTAGGATTCATACAGCCAGAAGTATATTCTGGTGTAGTTAATAGCTCATGGATGTAATAGGCCTTTACCCTAACACCACGTCATACTGTAGCCCACCAGGTCATTTCAGAGGCACAGGATTTGACTCACCTCACAGCCATCTGAAAAGTATTCCATAAAATCCCACACCTTTATCTATATTTCATAAAGTTCAAGCAAGGAATGTTTCATAAAGTTCAAGCTTTTCTTTTCCATCTGGAAAGCTGTATGCACACACCATTCTTGTTGACTGAAAAAACAAGGCTAATTCTGCGTATCTTTTCTTCCTTCACTAACTAAGATTGAGGACATTTTGTGTAACTGGTTTCCAAGCTCTCCAGTGATTATTATTAGCAAATGCTTGGTGCTATAAGCTGAAAAATTAGTTAGTGCAAGACGACAAAGGAACTTTGACTGGGAAAAAAAAAAAAAACCAAACGAAACAAAACCAGAAAACCCAAACATTAGAAATTATATGATGAAAGGAACAAAGCTTTCATTATTTTTGATAAATTATATCCTCTGCTGAGCCTGATATTTTCAAAACACTGGTAGGGGTTTGGAAGGCACCATCAAGCAATAAATCATGTCCTGATAGACTCCAGTTTTGTGCTGTGCTACTATTAGCAACAGGGTTTTGTAGCCCCGGCAGGGCGTCCTTCAGACGTGCCTCAGCCCAGTCTCTGGAGGCCTGCAGTTCCCGAACAGGATGCCGGGGATTCACAGTGAGCTGGTGGCAGCTGAACCCGGGAGCTGTGGTCATTAGTCTCTGTGGGGAGTGATGCTGGAGCTCATGGATGCGGGGTTGGGGCTGGAGGCAGTGAGGATCCTTGTGTCCTTGTGATGTCCAGGCCCGTAGGCCTAGTTCAGTTCCTAGTGAATGGCTCCTGCAGGACAGCCCCACACACCAGAAATCCTGTAAGTGCCCTGCATTGGTGACGTGTCCCCAACAGCAGAGTAGGAAGCTTGTGGCTCATGAAACAAAAAATGATGGACTAAATTCCCATTTCTCTAACCCTGATTTCCTGGTCTAGGTTGCTTGCATAGCCAGGT